GCAGCATCATAGGAGCAAAAAGGCTGACGTTTCGGGCCTAGACCCTCCATCAGAAATTCTAGGCCCGAAACATCAGCCTTTTCGCTCCTATGATGCTGCTTGGCCTACTGTGTTCATCCAGCTCTGCACTTGTTGTCTCACAATATTCCTGATGTAGTCTCACCAAAGTACCGTATAACTGCAGCAAGACATCCTTGTTCCTGTACACAAATCTTCTCGCTATGAAGGGCACATACCATTTGCCTACTTCACTGCTTGCTGCACCTGTAATACTTGCCCTCAGTGAGTGGTGTCCAAGGATATCCAGGTCTTGTTGCATCACACCCTTCGTCAATCAGTTGCTATTTGGATAACCTCACCTTTATCCAACATTGTACTGCATCTGCCATGTACTTTACTACTCACTCGGTTTGTCTAAATCACAGTAAAGCATCTCTGTATCCTCCTGACAGCTCATGCTCCCCCCAGCCTTGTGTCATCTGCACACTTGGAGATATTATAGTTAGTTCCCTCATCCACATCATTAATGTATGTCATGGGGCCCAAGCACTGATCCCTGCAGTACTCCACTAAACACTGTCTGCCCTTCACAAAAGGACCATTTATTCCTATACTCCTTCATCTAAATCCTTAATGTGTTGGGCAGGGCATCCCTGGAGTGTCCTGAGAAGTTACCGGGGTGCCGTTCTGTCGCTCCTTCCTGTGAATGCCTACCGGTACGTACTCTGTCTCCTGGAGAAGAATGGGCCATTTGGAGTGAGGTTGTGTTGCCTCATTCCTCTCTCTTACATTTCCATGGATGCTGAGCACTGATTGCTAGAACAATAGATAGCAGGTCCGAGTGCATGTCCAGCTGCCACTGTGTGTTATGGTGACTCTGGCTCTCCAAGGCACTACCACCCTTTCCATGAGGCAGTCAAGCACTCGATGCCAAAGCCATGAAAGTCATCAGAAGTTGGACAGGCTCCTCCACCTTCCAGTCCAGTCTAGTATGGACCCCTGGCATTCCTGCCTGATGTTCCCTGCCTTCCTTTATCTTATACAGAGGGAGATGTTTCTCTGGGTTCTGAAGAGCAGTCATATTGGACTTGAAACATTAACTCTGTTTTTTTCTCCTCTGAGAGATCTGCTGAGGTTCTCCATCATTCTCTGTTTTCACTTAAGATTTCCAGCATCTGCAATATTTTGCTTATATTTGTGATCAATGATAATTGATTAGCATTTCTAAATAGATAAAAGGCTAATGTGATTCCTGTGGCAATGACAGGTGGGATAAGAAGAAGCCTGAGATTTTGAGATCAAGTTACAGGCTCCCCTGTAAATGCAGAAATATCACAGATAGACAGCAGAGATGGTAAGAACTGTTGATGCTGGAGAGAGATAACACAGTGTGGAGTTGGAGGAACACAGCAGGCCAGGCAGCATCAGAGAAACAGGAAAGCTGACGTTTCGGGTCGGGACCCTTCTTCATAATTTTCTGAACTGTGAGCTGCTTGCGATAAACATTATGGGTCTGTGGAGAATGTGATGGAAGAAGATATACTTTAAATATATGTTGCCATCAAGTAGTTTTGTTTTAGTTATTTTAGAGAGTAAAACTTTTTTTAAATGAGATATCAAGCCATTTGTACTGAAAATTAGAATTTCCCTTTAAAAGTTTCAAAACTGAAACTGTGACGCTATTAAACTCAGAATGACCGGCAAAATTAGTGGGAAATTAAAGCAGAATTGGCAGAGGAAATCCATTTACTTGGAAGATTAGCTCTGCTTCTTCACCTAGATTTGTTTGTCACATTTTCCAAAACTTTCTCTTAAATTTCAGATCTCCAGTTGCCACAGTAATTTTGCTTTTACCTCATTACCTAAAGCAATTGATCCTGTTCCAAAATAGCTCCCTGCCAGTAAAAGGGGACAAGAGTTTTGTGTATGTGCCTATGTGTCAATAATTTTGATGCAACATTTTTAACGCCCTTCAGAGGTTGGCGGGGGGAATGAAAGTGAATGGGCCGGGTGGTCAGGCCGGACGCTGATTAACGAGACACAGATCCCACTGGGAGAGTGCCACCGCGAACGCCGTCCTCGCAGTGTGTTTGTTCAGCAGGCGATGGCGTCTAACGAGACCCGGGGCCCGGCTCCGACACAGGCCACGGTGCTGATGTCGTGCCGGGTGTCGGAAGGAGAGTGTGGCGGCCGCGGCCTGACTCTGTGTCCCGGGCCCGGGCCTCGGGCAGTGACGGACGACCAGCCCTCGGCCCTGCGCCTGCAGCTGAGCATGGAGCGGCCCGGGGAGTTCCGGCTGGGAGTCCGCTCCGGGGACAGCCGCCTCGGGAAAAGTCTGGTGAGGAATCACTGACCCTCCGACAGTGCCCACTCCCTCAGCACTGACCCTCCGACAGTGC